GAAAAGAAAAGAAAAGAAAAATATATTTAAAAAAAAAATACCAAGATGGAGAATCGAGGCGGTTGGGAAGGAAGCCGGGCAGGTACGGATTTGCAACCATTTGCAACGAACAACGTGCGGCAAATGTAGTGTTTGCTGCACCCCTTATCCAGCCAAAGTGGCTCGGGAGCCGCTGAATTGCAGCCGTTCGAAAGCTGTCAAGCCTTCTCTTGACACCTGTGACACAGGTGAGCCAGCTCTGGCGCCAGAGGATGATGGAACGAGAGAGTGACACCACCAGGCACACCCGCAACCCATGCCTCCTTATCCCGATTAACTTCTCTAATCCCCCACGGACACCCGAAAACCAACCATGAGCTCTAGCAGAAGAGCTGAGCCGAGTCAGTTCTGCTTAAAGAGCAGATCTTAGCAGAAGGTTTGACCTCAAGCGGCTCTTCCTTGCTTAGCGAATGCTTGGAATCGGCTCAGGAACGGAAGGGCTGGCTGGACCCCCTCCACAGATGCTGGGTTGGCGCCTGATCTCCGGCTCGGCCTCCAAAAAACCCCTCACCCCAGTGGGTCAGAAGACCCTGCTGTCCTCCTGAAGAGCAAGCATCGAGCTCTTTGGCAAAGCAGGTGATAATTTAGATCTAAATATCAAGCTTGGACCATTCAAGCCCACCAGGGCCCTGCTGTTCGACGCCAGCCAGCAGCCGTGCCAAGCACAGCTTTAACCTATCAGATTTAGAAGCCCCTCCATCTGCCAAAGACAGCTCGAATTAGCGACAACCGTCCCAGAGACACCTGGTCAACGTTGATGGCATGGAGGCCACCTCACCCCTTCTGTCCAGGCATCCAAGCAGCTGTCAGATGGCATTAACACGGTGGCTGCTGAAATCTAGGCAGCAGAGGGAAACGTAGGCCTTGCTGATCCTTGGGAAGTGCCGGGTCGTTGGTGGCAGGTGGCTACTTCCCCCCGCCCCCCCACAATGGGGCCACTCAGGCGCCCTCACTTCCCACAACAAGGCCAAGGCCACCAGCCGCTACCTGGAGTTCTCTGGCCGATGCTCCACTTCCATCTGTCCGGCTGGGCGCCCGATGTCCAAATGCTGTTCCAGGACCTGCTGCCGAAACTCAGACACCTGGGACTGGCGGTCTTCCTTCTCTTGCCGTAGCCGCCGTTGGCGTGCCAGCCATTTCTCCTCCTCGTTGGTGCGTTGGATGAGGAGCGCGGCGGCTGTGCTGCCAGCGGGCGGGGGGAAGATACTGTGGCTGGAAATCAAGCTAGGCACCGGGTGCTGCGAGGCAGATGGCTGGTGCAAGGGGGGCTGGACCGCCTTCGGGGTCTGGGCAGCAGAAGGGTCCTTTGGTTTTTCTGCAGGGACATAAATATATATATATTTATATAAATATATGCCACTGTTGACCGGCAACAGGAAGCCTGCAATTTGTTAAAGCTGGAAGGCAGCTGTCTAGGCAAGGAGCGTTTATCTTGTCTGAACATCGCAAGAGGGCAACTAGGACACAATTTTGCACAAAATGCTTATGGCTGTTGACACCGTTCTGAGAGAAATCACACACAGACGTACGTTGTAGGTGGGTTTCATAATTCTGCTCAACGCAGGGAGAAAAGAGAACAAGTGGGAAGATTATGAGAGGGCCAGTCCTTGGATGTTTCGGCTTCTTGGAGAAGACTACAGGGGCAAATGGTTCACCGACAAAAGCGCGTCCGACTAAACCGTGGTGACAAAACCGTGAGTTCTAAACCGCACTGACGAATGAGCGCTGAAGCGTGTCGACAACAGCGCGCCAACAGAAGCGCGCTGTAAACCTAACCCTAAACCTAACCCTAACCCTAACCCTAACCCTAACCCTAACCCTAACCCTAAACCTAACCCTAACCTAACCCTAAACCTAACCCTAAACCCAACCCTAAGCCTAACCCTAAGCCTAACCCTAAACCTAACCCTAAACCTAACCCTTACCTTAAATTAAATTGCGCTTCTGTCGGCGCGCTATTGTCGGCGCGCTGATGACGTCGCGGTTTAAGCGACGCGGTTTTGTCAGCGCGCTTTTGTCGTGCGCGCATTTGTCGGGTCACGGGGGCAACTAGATTCCACCCCCGACTGGCTAATCCATGGATCCCCGGAACACCCTTGGGCCAAACAAGCCTCAGGGGGCGTTCAGCCATGCACAGAAATGGCATGCAATGCAAGCAACCCAAGAAGAGATGCAAGGCCCCATGTTGGAGCAACAACACTTCAAACCCATCGCATGAGTTCATCCTGCCCAAGATTCAGGTTTGAAATCTGTTTCTGCTCCCTGGAAATAGGCTGGGCTTTTCCGACCGCCTGGTAGAAAGCAGCTGAAGGTCACCTGCTCGGTTTGGCGTTAGCTGTTCCGATGGTTTGACACGTTCTTCGGCTGGATGAGTCCTTGGCCCTTGCAACTCTGAGACCGACAGGAAGGGGCCTTCCATGGCTTTGATGATGCTCTGCTCCTTTTCCCGGGCTCTCTCGCGCTGCCTTTCCAGCTCCCGTTCCCGCTCTCGCTCCCGTTCTCGTTCCAGCTCCTTCTCCCGCTCCCTTTCCCGCTCCCGTTCCCGCTCCCGATCGGCTTCCCGCTCCCGCTCCTTCTCCCGCTCCCGTTGCCGCAGCTCCTCGTCCAACTGCAACCTGCGAAGTCGAGAGAAGAACAAAGGGAGCTCACAGAAACCCGGAGGTTAACTTTGGCCCGCCGATCACCAAAGTCTTCCGACGTGCCATACCTTTCCGCGGTCAGGCTGGAGAGGCGTTCCGACTGAAGTGCAGAAAGCGAGGAATGGGACAACTCGGTGGGGTACCTCATCCCCGATAAGTGGAGGTGCATGGCCGATGGGTGGAGGTGTGGGAGCGAACCAGGAGTTGGGATTGGGTAGAAAGGAGAGCGAAGAGCCGAAAGACAGTAGGAATCATCCATTCTGGGGAAAAGCAGAGTCGTTAGGTTATTTTGACCCGCCAGCATCCCACAAAACTTAATCGCGTTTTGCTTCTAACTAAGATTCAGCTTGGCAAGGCTGGGCAGAAACGATCGCAACAGCTTTCTTACCCCCCTCACTCCTAACTTGTATGGAGTAGACCACAAAATCATTCACCAGAGCTACCACAATGATAAAACAATAATAAAATATCAGCATCACTTAAAAGTCAAATGGATAAACCCACCCTGGCGGAATAGAACAGCACTGTAATATTCTTAAGAGGCCTGGATAAATGAAACCTTCATTACAAATGAAGGCAAATTTTCCTTCTCCCAGGATTGCAGATCCAATTTGGGCCGGTTACCAGGACGAGAAGTTTAATCTTCCACATTTTTGGAGCCGAGGTGGCGCAGTGGTTAGGGTGCAGTACTGCAGGCCACTTCAGCTGACTCTTATCTGCAGTTTGGCGGTTCTAATCNCCAGAGAAAAGATAACCCTTCTGGGAAAAGCCACCTATACATCACCTGAAGTTTCCTCAATTGTGTTGTTAGGTCCTGATATTTCTGCCTCCTTTCCCTCACTCTTCTTGGTATCTGTTTTAGTACTATGACCATTTCCCCCGCATACATGGTATTCTGGTCACGTGCCTTCTGGTAAATTTCTTCCCTCAGGGATCGCTTAGTAAACCTCACGTGCACTTCATGTGGCAGTTTCTGTCTCCTAGTATAAGAAGTATAGACTCTATATACGTCATCGATGTCACTCTGTATCAACAATTTATCTTTCATTATGTTCTGTTGCTTGTGTTTGCGTTATGTTGAATTCTAGTATGACATGGTCACTCTCACCCAAGGTTCCTGCGGTTTCAACTCCCTCTATCACTTCTTCTCTGTTTGTAAGAATTAAGTCCATTATGGCTGTCCCTCTAGTTCCCTCCTCTACTTTTTGGACAACACATTTGTCAACTAGGTTGGTCAGGAACATATTCAATTTCTCACTTGTTGCGGAATTATTCTTCCAATTGACGTCAGGGTAATTGAAGTCCCCCATTACTATTGTAGTGTGTTTCCTACATATATTTGTTAGTTGGTTGGATGACCTGTAGCATACACCTATGGCAATGTCATTGTTTTTTCTTTTATATTGACCCATATGCATTCTAGGAGGTTTTCGTCTTTGGTTTTGTGCATTTCTGTAGCAATGCAGTGGTTCTTTACATACAGTGCAACTCCACCTCCTCTTTTATGGGGTCTGGGTTTTTTGAACAGTTTGTATCCTTCTATCAATATGTTCCAATCAAGGGTTTCATCCCAGCAAGTTTCTGTAATTTGAACTATATCATATTTACCTTCATGTATTAATAGTTCAAGTTCACCCTGTTTGTTCTCCAAACTTTGTTCATTTGTATATAGGCACTTTGTCAGAGTTTGTTGCAGCAATCACATCCAGAAAGCACACACAGGTAACTGATTCAGCAGGATTCATTAACTTCTCTTTATGTATAATATAACGCATGAAGTAAATATCCAATACCAAAAGCAGGTTTTCCAACGTGGTAGCAAATACAAGCAAATACAGGCAGAGGAGAGAACAGTTTCAGTTCAGAGCAGCAGACTAGTTTTGAGCTGAGCACAGACTCAGAGCTCCAGAGCTAAGCCACGCCCAGGCTCCAAACTGTTTCAGCTCCTATTGGCTGACCTGTTGCCATGTCTATTCCAGTCTATAAATATTCATACTCTGACACACTTGAGTTCTTTATGTCTGACTCTGGGTATGCTTCCTATGTCTCCTATTTGGTATTTGAATTTGTCTTCCTTCCCCTCCCCCCTTACCTCATTATTTGACTTGTTTTCTAGGGTTTTTTGCTTGGAATTAGGTCCTGGAGATTGGTCACTCTCCCCCCTCAATTTTAGTTTAAAGCCTTCCTGACAAGTTGAGCCACTCATTTTCTGAAAATATTCTTCCCAGTCTTTGTGAGGTGCAGCCCATATTTTGCCAAAAGCCCATCATGGAGGTAGTGCAGACCATTGTCCAGGAATCCAAAGGTGTTTTTTTGGGGCAACGCCAACCCTTTAGCCAGTGGTTCACTTCTAGAATCCTTTGTTCTGTTACCGGATGTTGACCTTTCATTGGCAGTACAGATGAAAAAATTATTTGTGCACCTAAGTCCTTGACTTTCTTGCCTAGTTGCTCATAATCACTCAATATTGTTTTCAAGTCCTTTTTTGTGTCATTCATCCCTACATGTAATAGTAGAAAAGGGTAGTAATCTGTGGGTTTTATTATTTTGGTTCAGTTCTCAGCCACATCTTTGATTTTTTGCTCCAGGGAGACAGCATACCTCCCTTGTTTGTTTGTTTGTATGTCTGGTCTGCAGATGACTGGTTCTGTCCCTTTGAGAATAAAATCTCCTATCACCAACACTTGCCTTCCTTTTTTAGAGAATGCAGTCTGGGCTGCTTTTCTGTTTATCTCAGGTGAGTTTGTTGATGCGACTTTTTAGGGATATTTGATGATGTCTCTTTTCTAGGTGTTTGCATGTTTTCTTTCAGGGGGAGGTTGTAGGTCTGAGTATTTTCAACTAGAGGGAGAAATTGGTTGCTCAGTTTTAATGGGACTGCTTCTGATTGGATTAGATTGGGTAGTAGGGTTTTGTTAGATGTGTGCTGCTTCTTTCTTTGATTATTGTGTTTCCTTCTATGTGTGACATACCTCAATTTGTCTTCCTCCAAGGGTTTATCAGCATGGTCAAATCCTCTGAGAGTTATTTGTTCATGATTTGATTCAATTTGGGCATAGCTTTCTTGCATAGGTTGGAGTTTGGCTAGAACTGCCGCTAGATCCCTTACTTTTTCCTCTAGTAGATCACATAGTTTACATTTAATACATGCATACTTTGGGTTTTCTTTGGGCATAATCACATACATGGAACATATATTGCATATCACAATAGTATCACTCACCTGTTCCGTGAGTTTGTTTCTTTTTGCTGGTTCTTTTAAAGGTAAAAAGTTTTGTATCTTTCTTTTTTTTCTATCCTTTTTCTGCCTTTTTGTGCTTGTTCTTCTACCATGTTATTTATTTAACTTGCTTACTATTATGTTAATTTTATTTATCCTTTTCTTCCCTATATTTTTTAAATTTTTGAGCTCCAGTTCCTCCCTATCTTATTATTTAAGATTTGCCTTATTTATTTGATTGATCATTATTAATCCTATTCTTCCTTGATTTTTAATTTTCCACTCTTTTCCTTATTATTTGCCTATTTATCTTTTATTTTCTGTCCTCTGTTTATTTTTATTCTATACTGGGGTCTTCCCTCCCTGCCTATTGGAACCTCAGGCTTAATTTGTTGCCTTCACTTCAGTCGTTCGCTGCTCCAGGCTCTTGTTTTCTCTGCCATCTCCCTTCTGCCAGCTCCCTTCCCTCTTTCACATAGTTACTGAATAGAACCAACCTAAAATTGAACTCTCCCAAGCTCTATCTCTTCCCTCATCTGAAAGGAGTGCGGAGGCTGCTTCATTTTCCCTCTTGCTGCCTCTGCCACTCTGGCTGGTTTGCCAGGGAGCAGCACCTCCTATGAAGGGAGGGCCAAGCTGGGCCAAAGCCATGAGGGGGGTGGAGTGGGCCACTCAATGGCCGGCAGGAAGGGGCTCGTGAGCTGGACTGAGTGGCAGCGCCCCTTCCACCCACACCAGTTCCCATACTGCCAATTACAGTTGGCTCCTCTGCATTGTCAGCTACTTGTGAAGTTGCCTCAGTGGTTTGCTAACTTTCTATATATATTTGCATCTCTGAAGTAGTTTAAGTAGTCTTTTTAACATCCTTGGAGCATAAATTGTGCTATAAACTGATGGATTGTATTTAAAGATTTTTCAAATGCATCTCTAATAATTTGCTCCTCCATCTTCTTAATTTCCTCTTAGTCAAACAGAAGCTTTTTGTAAATCACTTAAGAATTGATGACTAATCAGGAATCATAAAAATCAGAAAGTTTTAGTCATCCACAGCAAAGCAGAACAAGCTACAAATTACTAAAAATAATAAACTAGAACCTTATATTTCTTCATCATTTTTTTTAAAAAATATAGTCCACACTTCCTTATTTTAGCTTGCCTTAGCCTGCTTCCTTGTTATTTAACAAAAGAAATCCCCAAAATGGCAGAGATCTTCAAAAAGGAATAATAATGAAAAATGAAAAATGAAAA